TTAAATTTTAAAAATGCAGAATTTTCATAATTTTTCCATAAAATGTGAAACTTGGATTTAAATGGTGTTTGCTAGTAATCAGCTATACCTTCATCGATATTCGTGCTCTTTAATTCACTCCGTTATTTTCCAAATGTTGCGAATAAAACATCGCACTTAAGGTTAAGCCATTCATACCAAAAATTTTATAAAGAAAGTCCCCGCTAAGTCCTTCTTTGGAAAAAATACAGTGACCCAAATATAAAATGGGACGTTAGATTTAAAAAAGTTTTGGTTATTTTTATTTAGTTTATTTAAAGTTTATTATTTTTTCATTAAAATTTAGCCGGTTACTCAACAAACACCATATAAGTCTCAATTTCAGACTTCGTGCAAAAATTGTGAAAATTCTACAAAATTTCACCAAAATGATTAGCTTTTTAATCAGCATATTTACAAAATGGTATGAATGCAGTTTTGTAGTCCGTTAAAATTTAATATAATATGGTGAAAATCTGAAGTATCTAGGACTTACCGTTAATTTTTGTATTTTTTTTTATAACAGTGCACATTAGGTCAAACGATTACTTTTTCTGTGCGAAATTAATAGCTGCTAAAATATTGAATTATTTTAATGTAAAAAAGGCAAACGTTAAAACAAGTGTAAAGGCAGTAAATAAAATGTTACACAGACTTGGCTTTCTTAAAACAGACTTTTCTGTTTTTTGTATGTTCAAACGATGAGTATATGTGTTTAGGTAGTACTCAAACACATTGTCCAATTAGCTTACATAAATGGTTTCTTCCAGCGATTAGTTATGGCGTTATCGAAATTCCTAAATTAAAAAAAGAAAAATATTTACTACATGTCTCGCAGGTATGTCTTGAGGAGAGATTCCGAAAGCAGTTAGTCTTCATAAAACACTTCATTTTCACTTGAGGTTTCAGTATTTCCAAATTCTCCACCGATATTATTTATACTCAGAATACAAATGCTGCTTTGTGACACATTTACCAAAAATCGCTGGTAACTTCCTGAAAAGAATACGAATGTTTATGAAACTAATTTGTTTCTAATTTCTCTCAAGGATTTGCCTTTTTGCGAAGGCTGCTCATCAATGGTCTTTGCGAATCGCTAGTGTATTTGTAACATAGCCTCGGCTATGCTATAGGAGATGAAATGTAATCCAAATTGAGGCTGCTATTTTTTTTTTTTTGCTATCACATACTTCCATTTTCACTATTTATCACCATTAAAATGGATTATTTATCACCAAAAAATGTTGGAGATATTTTTGGAGATAAGTAGCTAAAAATTTGGAAGCTAACCAGCTATCCTATTTTAGCACTTTAGCGATAGCGAAAGTTAGAATCCGGCTGATGGTCGAAACAGTTGGCTTTTTGATTTCGAAAAGAACCTCATCAGCAAGAAACGCTATGTTTTCAGATCTAAATATTTTAGCATCCTTTCCAAATTGTTTCCCTTAATTTTCATATTTATTTGATAAATAATTGCAAAAAATACGCGTTTTTTCTTCTAAGAGTTTCATGGAACTTTCGCAAATATCAGCAGCACCAAATTTTTTTTTCAACATGGTTGACAATTGAAAAAGGCATTTCTTTTTTCGAACATCCAATCAGCCAAACTTCAAACAACTTGCCTTTTGTGATAGCATGATAACCCAGAAAAAACCGTTTTTCTTGAAAACGGCTAAAAACGGCAAGTTAAGTAAAATAAATTCAACTCATTACATCTTAATTTATCCATTTCCGATGCCATTTTGCTTGCCGATAGTTAAAAAAATTTTAAAAGCTTACATAAAATCATAAATGGAAATAAATCAGAAAATTTGTGAGGTTATGCAAATAAGTCAGTTTTTTTTGCAAACAAATGATAAAAAGTCACTTTTTTAAATTGGGACATAGGTTCTCACTTAGATATAGTTTTGTTTCCCATTTAAAATTTTCCTTTAGTTATTCGAACTTTACAAAAAATATGCGGTATAACGGTGTTTTTTATTTTACAAAAACTAAGTGAAGTTTCTGTTATTTCGGAGTATTCCCTACAGAATGGCAACAAAAAATAATGTAAAACTGCCTTTACGAAATTGGACTTTCGCACATCCAAATGTATCATTTGACCTAATGTGCAGTGTTACGAATTTTTTCCATAAAAAGTATGTTCTAAAGTATTTTATATGGATAAATAATGCGGAACACCGTCAACAAAAAAATTCCAAAAATCAACGGTTAGTGTCAGCTACCTTAAATTTGCACTTTGCTATACTAAAATTTTAAATTAAAAAAAGGCAGAATTAATTAATTTTTGCTTAAAATGTGAAATTTGGGTTTAAATGGGGTTTGTAAGTAATCAGCTATACTTTCATAAAAGAATAATGAGCTAAAATGTCACGTCCCCCTTCATATTTGGGTCACTATATATATTTACATAAAATAAAAACCTTTGAAATCGGCCCAGTATTTTAAGACTTTTCGGATTAGAGAAAATTCTTTAAATTTTATATACTTAACACAGGCCGACATGAAAATTTTCTCCGAGATAAGGCTAGCTGTTTCTAATAGATTTTGGGTCGCCACATTTGTAAAAATGGGAACTTATATGTACATATATTTGAACTTTAATAAAATACGGCAAATACAGTGTTGCCACTGCCTTAGCCTTTAAAGTATCCATAAAAGATCTAAAACTGTATCCAAATATATCCACCGAAAAGAGCGGACATTTTTACACAGTGCGTCTATGGAAAACAAACTCGGCCCCTTAACAAACTTATTAACATGTAGTCAGTATTTTCCCATCCTTAGACACGGATTTGGGAAACAGAGGCCCGTAGTTATAATCATAATTAAGTCGACTCAAAAGTTAGTTGCAGCTTTTTTACAAAATTTTCAATGGGATATCTGTCAAAAAAGCTGCAATTAATCGTATATAGATTACTTTTCGATAGCTCTAATAGTTTCTGAGAAATTATATAATCATTCCAGATTTTTTTTTTTTTTATGGAAAAAAGCAAAAAAAATCAAACTTTAACAGGGAAAAAAGTCAAAAAATAACAGTTTGTGTGTAAACAATTTCCACTTGTGTTAAAGCCTGTTCCTTTAGCAAAAAACTAAGCTACCAATGAAGAAAACCGATACATAAATAACAAACTAATGATTGGTCAAATGAAAATGCGCAAGGATTTTTTGTATGAAATATCAGCAGAAAAGAGTGTTACTCATACGCCACGTACACCCGAATAATGACTAATTAATTTCTCAGAATCTATCAGGGCTATCGAAAAGTGATATATGTACAGTTTATGGAGAATTTCATTTTCCGTATCTCGTATTACGATTATTCTATTGGTTCGTAAGATATACGTCATTAAGTAAAACCACTATTTTTTAAGGCTGAGGAACGGTAAATTGCATATATCTCGAAAAGTTATCCATAGACAAAAAATATCTCGATTTTCGGAATCACCGATGAATTATACATGGGAATTAGATAGTGGCTTCCATAAAACATTTTTGCTGTAAGCCAGTGTTATTTAAAAACAAATCAAAACTTCTAAAATCACAAACATAGTATGTGGTTTTATCGGAGGTTCACAAATATAACGTGGCAACCTAGCCACATTTTTCGGCCCGAACTTGTAAAATTTTTGTCCACCACGAGTTGCCGATTTTGGTACGAGTAGGTCGAGGTGCCTTGAACACCATTTGTATAAATACAAAAAAATTATTTTATTTATTTTTAATATTAAAAATTTCTATACGTCGAAGCGTTCATAAATATATAGCTACAAATATCCACGGATGATTTTTAATTTTTTTTATCTGTACGCAACTCCTCATAAAAAGATTCACACACACCAAAGTACAAGCAATGCGATGTCCGAGTTAGTGCTACTCCACTGTAGATGTCCATATGTACATATGTCTGGATGTAAGCGTGCAAATATGTCAATTTAAGTTTGCGTTTAACCCATTTAAGCGGTCAAAGTTTTTTTCGTTCCAGTGGTTAATAAAATACAATTTTTATAGTGAATTTTCATGAAAGTTACATGTATCGTCGAGAAGATGTTTCATGCAAAATTTTAAATGACAAAACAAACAAATGGCAATTCGCAGAAATTTAATAATTTGTCTGGATGGAGGCCGGCGAGGGGAGCACGAAGCTGATCAACCGTACATATGTATGCACATATTTACATTTATAAATGCATACATATTTATGCGTTTGTCTTTTTGCAAGAATAAAAATTTCATAGGTGATGCAACTTTTTTGGCGCCTTGCCGCTTTTCTTGGTTCTAATCCCGGACGTAGCAGAAAATGAATTGTTTTTTTTTTTTTAATTGTCATACCCATATTCCATTTAAAATTTTACTATTAGCTTTGTTGAAATAATATACCTATATAGAATGATATGTAGGCACATACGCATGTGTAATTTTACATAATCGCTCAAATTTGCCAAAAGCTACTGAAAACTGTATTGTAAATGTTTTCACTAAAATATCTAAAATGCAAGTTATTGGAATTAAAATTTTATGTGAATCAAATTTTCATTCCCAGTTTTAGAAATACACATACATGTATGGAATTAACAACCGCAACCACGCTGTCAACTTTATCTCATTTGCTCACTCGTTTTGAAAATTTCTTTGATGTATACAACAACAACACTGCTAAATCCATGCAGCCAGCTTCTACTTGCGCCCCAACAGGTGCTATGGGCTCTGTCGACGTAGTTGCTAATGCTGCTGAAACAACAGCTGATACTGCTGCTAATCCGCCGCAGCCTAATGATGCTGCTGCTGCTGCTAGCATTTCAACTGCGACGCAAATTCCAATCGCCGCTACTTCGCAATCTTCGTCGCCTACTTCGGGTATTGTTGTCAAGCCTCCTGCAGTTGTTGGTAACGAGAACGAATGGAGAACAGTGCAAAATAAAAAGAAATACAAACGAAGTAATAAAAATGAAATTGTTAACAACAAAGATTGCGCTCCTAACAATGCTAATGTTGAAGCAGGTACTAGTTCAATGCCTGATAGTGCTGAGAGCAACAACAATGCTCCCATTACAAATGATAACATTTCTTCTGCCGATAACCTGTCAGTTTTGGGTACTGGTAATGCTGTGCTTGCTCAACAACAAATAAATGATGAAAGGGAATTTGAAGACAATGCTGCGTGGGCAAAAGTAAACAACAAAAGGCGAAATAACAACGTAGTTGTTGTGGGTTCTAATGCAAGCACCGAATTGTGCATTGCTGATCGTATGATGTGGGCGCACTTGTCGTCATTTGATCCTAAAGTCACTGCTGATGATATTAAGAATTATGTGTGTAAGCATGTGAACATTGATAAAAAGGCTCTCTCTTGCTATGCTTTAGTTAAAAAAGATGACCCAGCAGAAAATCGTACCCACGTTAACTTCAGGTTGGGTGTTCTATCTGCCGAGTTTAATAGTATTCTTGATGCGAAAATTTGGCCTATAAATGTAAGAGTGAAACCATTTAATTTTTTTCGCAAACGGGGAGGTCGCAAACGAAGAGGTCGAACCCAACAACAAAATGTGTAGAAGCCAGTACAACAACAAGATGTGCAGAAGCCGGCGCGGCTAATAATAATATATATGACCTTAAGGTATATTTCCAGAATGTCTCTGGCATTCGAACTAAAGGGGAGGCAGTACGGCTTTTTAGTTCTCGTTTGGATTTTGATGTCATTGTGTTTGTTGAAACCTGGCTTACAATTAATTTCTTTGATAGTGAGTATTTTGACTCCAATTTGTATAACGTTTACCGCAAAGATAGAGACTCCCTGAAAACCGGCTGCGATAGAGGTGGGGGCGTTCTCATTGCTGTTCAAAGAAAATTTCATTCTCACTTGGTTGCGCTTGATAATTATGATTCGCTTATGGACCAGCTATGTGTTAGCATTAAGGGAGCTTCTTCGCCAAGCTCGCTGTTTGTTATTGCTTCATACATTCCACCCAATAGCGCGGATTACATTTATAGTGCACTCACTGATAATGTGACCTCTTTAATTCTAAGTATGGTAGCTGATAATCATGTTTCTGTATTAGCTGGCTTTAACTTATCTAATGTAGGCTGGTCTCCTATATCAAACTCTGGCCTTATGCCCATAAATATTAGTAAGTCGCATGAGTCTTATCTTGTAGACAATATTTTGAGCGTTAACTTAGTGCAAATTAATAAATATGTAAACAGGCTTGGCAGAATTCTTGATCTTGTTTTCGTCAGTGACAATATAAACACCTCAATTGAAGAATGTCATTTTCCTTTATCGCCATCTAACTTGCACCACGTTCCTCTGACTATTAATTTTGAGTTTTATAAGTTTGCATCAAATGCCTCTGTTGAAGATGTACGTTTCAATTTTAAAGCCGGTAATTTTTCTGAATTAAACTTATGTTTATCTGAGCTTAATTGGGAGGATTTATTTTCTACCTCTGATGTCTCAGCTAGTTTTTGTATCTTTAAAGACATATTATCTGAAGTGTGTCTAAAATGGGTTCCCATTGTCAGGAAAAAAACATATAAACTTCCATGGTACAATCGTCGCCTGAAGAAGTTGAAGAATCTGAGGAACAAATTCTTTAAAAGGTACAAGGCTACTGGTAACTTTATATTTTATGCATCATACCAGAAATACATGAAGGAATTTAACTGTTTGGATAAATTTCTTTATAGAAATTATATACTTAATGTTGAGTCAGGTATAAATGCCAGCCCCAAATCATTCTGGAGTTTCATCAAATCAAAAAAATCTATCTCCAGTATTCCATCTGCTATATTCTTGGAGAACGAATCTGCTAGTAACTTAACTGATTCAGCAAATTTATTCGCGAAGTTTTTTAGCTCTAATTTTATATTGGATGATAGTAACTCCGAATTTGTGGCTGGTTCTGGAGACAATGTTTCTTCCGTAAATTTTGGATCTCTCAGACTTTCATCTGAGGATGTTTTAAACGGAATAATGGGTCTTAAGCCTTCAGAAAAAACTGATATTGATGGTATTTCGGTTTTTTTGTTCAAAATTGCGCCCGCGTTAATTTTACCACTTACAATTATTTTTAATATGTCTCTGGCTTTAGGCTATTTTGTGGAAGATTGGAAAATTACGTGCATTACTCCTACTTTCAAAAGTGGAAATAAGAATAATGTTTGTAACTATCGTCCGATTTCAAAGCTGTCCACCATCTCGAAGCTTTTTGAGGTTATTGTAAAAGAGAAAATATATTTTGCAACCAAAAGTCTAATAACACCATTTCAGCATGGCTTTATTCCAAATCGGTCTACAATTACTAATTTGACTGAATTTAGTGAATACTGCTTCGAGTCTTTCCAACTTGGTATTCAAGTTGATTGCGCGTATACACTGACTTTTCCAAGGCTTTCGATAAAGTATCACACGTGGTGCTAATTAGTAAGCTTGAACACCTGGGATTTCTGTTTTTTTAAAGTGGATAAAATCTTATCTATCTAATAGGCAATGTGTGATCACTGTTGATAACACCAACTCACGACCTTTTATAGCGTGTTCAGGCGTTCCTCAAGGAAGCATTTTAGGTCCACTGCTCTTTGTGTTATTCATAAATGACATAAGCAGTTGCTTCTCTTTCGCTAAATACCTATTATATGCTGACGATCTAAAAATATATTCTAATATTCAAAATCGTGATGACATTAATAAAGTTCAGGCAGATATTGATAATCTGCAGGTCTGGTGCTTAAACTCTCACCTCTCCTTAAATATAAAAAAGTGCTTCAAAATAACGTACGCGAAGGTACAGAATGTTTTGCCTTCCACCTATATGATTGATGACTCTGTTTTAGATTCTTTAGAAGAAACTAAGGATCTTGGTATTTTCTTTACCTCGAACTTTTCTTTTAATAGCCACATAAGCTTTATTATCGCTAAAGCGTACTCACTTTTGGGCTTTATTAGGCGTAATTGTGCGAAATTTTCGGATCCTTATACTCTTAAATTACTTTATACAGCCTTTGTTCGGTCAAACTTGGAATATGGTGCTATAATATGGAGACCATACCATATTTCCGCAGTAAATAGAATTGAAAGGGTCCAAAAAATATTTCTTAGGTTTGCGCTACGCTTATTGAACTTCTCTGAGCCGATGCCTACTTATAATTCGCGGTTACTTCTAATAAATTTGAAAACGCTGGAGACAAGGCGAGTAATTCTTTCATTATCTTTCTTTTTCAATATTATTAGTGGTGACATTGATTGTACATCTCTTCTCGCTCGGATTAATTTTAACATCCCGCGGAGGTCTCTGCGTATTGTTGTACCCTTCTATGAACAAATTCTTAGAACTGATTATGCTCGAAATGCTCCCATCGCTCGAGCTATCAATGAACTTAACAGGATCTCGAACTCTGTTTCGTTTGATTTCTCAATATCTAAGTATGAACTTATTAACATATTGAATACAGTTTTGTAATATATTGTTAAGTTTTTACGTTGTTTGTTACATATAGCTCATAGTCTGTAAGAAACCTGTATTTCATAGACTTGAATAAATAAAAAAAATAAAAAATAGCGGCAAATCAGCTGCACTTGATAGCAGTAGGTTGAATAAGGAATATGAATTAGCAACAAGAGTTTACGGGGTGTGCATAGCTCAGTGGTTAACGCTTCTGATTTTGCACATCGATGATGCGGGTTCGATCCCTGCTGAAGTCTAGAAAAAAGAAGTCTGATGAGGAGATGTGGTGATCTTCGAAATAGCTGCAATAACTTCTACAGCTTAGACTTTGTTGCTTTTCCATTTTCCTAATAAGATTATCATGGTACAAAGCTCAATAAAAATATTAAAATTAAATGTTAATAAACCACAATAACATTGACAAAATCACTGACATCAAAAACTGCCTCAACTAACAGCTGTTAATTTGGTGTCAAATGCATTTTCAGTACATCAGAAAAAGTCTTTTTCAAAAACTGTCTTCAAAATGTGGGTCAAATATTTGACATGGCATTTTCATTAAAGGTGTCAAATCCGAAGATGACATTTGATCAGCTGATAAGAGGAAAATTAACGCAGTGTGAAATACGAAATTAATAAACATATTAAAAAAAGGCAACTTACATAAAAACTACATAAATAATGAATAAGAAAAAGACCATCGCAATAGCTTGTGCGGCACTTTGCTTGGTAACTACCATAAAAGCTTGGAAAGAGAAAAGGAGGCAACTGAGGAAGGTAAAGGAGCGGTGGATCAGACCAGATCTGAGAAATAGAGACCGCTGTGTGCAATCCAGGACCCAAGGTAGCTGAAAAATTCCGTCAGAATGAAGGTAGAAAATTTTCTTCCAGCGATTAGTTATGGCGTTATCGAAATTCCTAAAATAAAAAAATAAAAATATTTACTACATGTCTCGCAGATATGTCTTGAGGAGAGATTCCTAAAGCAGTTAGTCTTCATAAAACACTTCATTTTCACTTGAGGTTTCAGTATTTCCAAATTCTCCACCGATATTATTTATATTCAGAATACAAATGCTGCTTTATGACACATTTACCAAAAATCGCTGGTAACTTCCTGAAAAGAATACGAATGTTTATGAAACTAATTTGTTTCTAATTTCTCTCAAGGATTTGCCTTTTTGCGAAGGCTGCTCATCAATGGTCTTTGCGAATCGCTAGTGTATTTGTAACATAGCCTCGGCTACGCTATAGGAGATGAAATGTAATCCAAATTGAGGCTGCTATTTTTTTTTTTTTGCTATCACATACTTCCATTTTCACTATTTATCACCATTAAAATGGATTATTTATCACCAAAAAATGTTGGAGATATTTTTGGAGATAAGTAGCTAAAAATTTGGAAAAAGGTTAGCTATCCTATTTTAGCACTTTAGCGATAGCGAAAGTTAGAATCCGGCTGATGGTCGAAACAGTTGGCTTTTTGATTTCGACAAGAACCTCATCAGCAAGAAACGCTATGTTTTCAGATCTAAATATTTTAGCATCCTTTCCAAATTGTTTCCCTTAATTTTCATATTTATTTGATAAATAATTGCAAAAAATACGCGTTTTTTCTTCTAAGAGTTTCATGGAACTTTCGCAAATATCAGCAGCACCAAATTTTTTTTTCAACATGGTTGACAATTGAAAAAGGCATTTCTTTTTTCGAACATCCAATCAGCCAAACTTCAAACAACTTGCCTTTTGTGATAGCATGATAACCCAGAAAAAACCGTTTTTCTTGAAAACGGCTAAAACGGCAAGTTAAGTAAAATAAATTCAACTCATTACATCTTAATTTATCCATTTCCGATGTCATTTTGCTTGCCGAAAGTTAAAAAAATTGTAAAAGCTTACATAAAATCATAAATGGAAATAAATCAGAAAATTTTTGAGGTTATGCAAATAAGTCAGTTTTTTTTGCAAACAAATGATAAAAAGTCACTTTTTTAAATTGGGACATAGGTTCTCACTTAGATATAGTTTTGTTTCCCATTTAAAATTTTCCTTTAGTTATTCGAACTTTACAAAAAATATGCGGTATAACGGTGTTTTTTATTTTACAAAAACTAAGTGAAGTTTCTGTTATTTCGGAGTATTCCCTACAGAATGGCAACAAAAAATAATGTAAAACTGCCTTTACGCAATTGGACTTTCGCACATCCAAATGTATCATTTGACCTAATGTGCAGTGTTACGAATTTTTTCCATAAAAAGTATGTTCTAAAGTATTTTATATGGATAAATAATGCGGAACACCGTCAACAAAAAATTTCCAAAAATCAACGGTAAGTGTCAGCTACCTTAAATTTGCACTTTGCTATACTAAAATTTTAAATTAAAAAAAGGCAGAATTAATTAATTTTTGCTTAAAATGTGAAATTTGGGTTTAAATGGGGTTTGTAAGTAATCAGCTATACTTTCATAAAAGAATAATGAGCTAAAATGTCACGTCCCCCTTCATATTTGGGTCACTATATATATTTACATAAA